CAACGTTTTATGTAAAATAATATTTTAACATCAAATGATGTTTTTAGTGTAAAATTTAATTCTAGTAAATACATTTCTTTGCAGTTAAAACAAAAGCCTTATAAAATGTGCTGAGATGTCAATGGTAGAAGACAAATGAAGAATACGCAATAGGCGATTTATTAAAAATTGCTTAAAATAATAAACTAATTTTAAATAGTTTCATGAGTTTTTGTCCTTTAGATAAAATTTTTATCTTGATAATGGATTAGAAAACAAAATATTTTGCTTTTTCATTCAAACCAAAATTAATCTTTTTTTTTAAAACAAAAAGCATTTTTAAAATAATTAAATGAAAAGGTTTTTACTATCTTACTGCAAACTAGTTAAAAAAACAGAGGTGACATCTAAAAATACAGAATTTTCTCATAAGTGATATTATTTTATCTCATTAAAAAAATTCTGATTAAATCTATTTAAGATTACAGCTTTAAACAGAAATTTACACTTTTAAAGAAACCTATGTATATTAAACATGAAATTAATTGAAGAAAAACTAAATTATGAATATGTAACTGTATTAAAAAAGAGAGATCTGCTCCTAAATAAGCAGTTAAGAGTTTTTCTTTTTTTTGGGGGGGAGGGGACGATAAGTTTAACAAGTTAAAAAATTCTGATTAAATCTATTTAAAATTACAGCTTTAAACAGAAATCTACGCTTATAAAGAAACCTATGTATATTATACCTGAAATTAATTAAAGAGAAATAAAATTATGCATATATAACTTTATAAAAGGAAAAAACGAGAGATCTACTTTTAAATAATCAGTTAATGAGATTTTTTGTATCAGTTAAAATTTTATCTTCTGCCCTCATTTATTGCCTAGCCTATTATAATTAAAAAATAGATCCCGAAAGAGCCTGTGAGGGTCTCTAAATTACTAGCGTCAAAAGCAAAGCGCATAACTCTGAAGAAGCTTTTTCTGACTGGTTCTAAAATCCAGCGGTAATCTTTGTCGTCTCTTTGTGGCACTGTGCAGAGAAAACTAACAGAAGTAAATCATTTATTACGCTGTTTTGAGTTATTTTCTCCGACAAGATATTGAGCTGCTTTGGATGGAAAATTAATAGTCGCTGTACATCAATACAAAATTCACTGACTTCTTAGCCTATGCTTCTGATTATTTGCTTGCTTTCGTTCTATTTAAAAATAAATTTAACAATGAAATACATTCCCTTGAAAAATAAATGTCCACATCACAGCAAAACTGCTGTAAAGTATTAAGATAAAATTCAATTTACTTTTGAGCAAGAGGATATACGTGCTAGAAAATAATACAATGCAGAAAAATGTAATGAGAAAAAATTAGGAAACATGAATGTATAGAAAGGCAAGAAGTTATTGTTATACATTTACAATAAAACTGTTCATGTGACAAGGAAAGTTATTATTTTGTATGTGATTTTAATTCGAATGCTCCTCTCTCTCTATATATATATCTAATAACTTGGCTTGGTAGATAGATGGATAAATGTATAAACCAGAAACTTGCAGACGTGGCCGAATTCAGTTGTTTCCTTTTTATTCACGGTTGTCATACATTTATATTTAATCCAATCCAAATCAAATCGGTGCTACAGCGCCTCGTTCTTAAAGAACGTTTTACATTGGATAAACTTGAAAATATACTTTTTGAAGGCATGTTGCTATAACGAAGGGGGAGAGAGCAAAGAGAGGCGAACAAAGGAGAGCGACCAAAAAGAAGAGAGCGAGATTGCGCAGCAAAGACTTTTTATACCAAGGCATGATTACATTAAACAGATTATATTACAAGATATTGAGCTGCTTTGGATGGAAAATTAATAGTCGCTGTACATCAATACAAAATTCACTGACTTCTTAGCCTATGCTTCTGATTATTTGCTTGCTTTCGTTCTATTTAAAAATAAATTTAACAATGAAATACATTCCCTTGAAAAATAAATGTCCACATCACAGCAAAACTGCTGTAAAGTATTAAGATAAAATTCAATTTACTTTTGAGCAAGAGGATATACGTGCTAGAAAATAATACAATGCAGAAAAATGTAATGAGAAAAAATTAGGAAACATGAATGTATAGAAAGGCAAGAAGTTATTGTTATACATTTACATTACATTAAGCGATTGATACAATACATTAAGCGATTGAGTCCAATTTGGAAAAAGTTTTTGTTTCTTAAAAGTAATTTTTAGAGTCCTCTTAAATTTTTTTAATATTCAATCCAAAAGTCTTCGTGTTTTACAGTGCACATAATTATAATTCTTCAGAGAAGGCTTTTCAAAACGTTTCACAGATCAGCACAAATGTAAGAATTTCATACATCCATTACTTAGATTATTATTAATCATAACAAAACTCAAGAATAAATGAAACTAATTTTCGTATTTAAAAATTACATTTTAACATCTTGAATACTGTGATATTCTTACTGAAATTGTGGTTTCATAGTTGTTATTTAATTTCTAATTTCCTTGTTTTACACAAAACTGGAAGGCCCTACAGTACTTCAAAATAAATATTTCTATCATATTGGGCATATCCACTTTGGCTGACTGGTGTGTAAATGCATCAGTGGTCAAGGACATGCTCGGGAGTTGCTTGTAAAGGACCCCCATTCCTTACCTAAGGTAATTAGCGTTTGTGAACTACACTACAGCATTCCATAATTAAAAAAATAATTCTATATTTTAAAAAATATACTCATCAATAAATGAGAGCCTACAACTTTATAAGGAGGGTATACAAACGGAAAAATAACAGCCTCTTTTTCTGAACCAGTACTCCCTCAACATACCTTAACTTTACAAACAATTACTCATTAATTATAACATTTATTACCATAATTTCGATTAACTTTTTTTTTTACATTTTACTTTAAATTATATTATCCATATTTAGTTCAATTTTATTATAATTGATTATTATAATAATTAATTCATTTCTAAAATTATTGATTATTAAATTATTCTTATATTCATTATAAACAATATTCAATATCAAAATATTTAATATATTAAAATCCAAAACACAATTTTCTATAATTTTTTGTTACTAATATTTAAAATTATTTCCTTCATTTTTCATGTTCACTTCATTCTCGAAATTCTTAACAATAATATTTTACAAAATTCTTAACAATAATATTTCTCCAAGCAATTTCAAAATCCTTTACATTAATTCAAAAATGTTTACAAAAATTCAAAAAGTATAATTATTAATAATATTACAGTTTAATAACTTTTTTTGAAAATATTTTAAAATCTTAAAATTCGTTACTCAATTTATTATGTATAATTATTAAGAATTAAATTGCTGATAGCACAAAACTTTCATTTGATATTTCATTAAATAGTGCTTCATTATATAAAAAAAAGTAGTAAGAAAGCAGCATTACTTGCTCACATTTTTTTCAGAATAGAACCAATTAATGAATAAATTATTCGTAATTTAAACGCAATTATGCTAAACAAGTGAAATTAATTTTCTTGCGTGTACTTCAAGAAGATTCTATAAGCAGAAAGTGATGACCTTGGAGCAACATAGCTTTTAAACATTCGTTGAATCACTTTCACTTTAGAATTACAATTCTTGATTACTTTTGAGGAATATGTAGTTTAATACACCAGAAAACGGCTAAACAGAACAATTAACGGGATCCTTTTCCCCCACTTCTTCATATTGTCGATGAATTCCGTTACGCAATTGAGGATTTCAAGAGATAGTTGATAAAATATTCAGACACTGGGATGAAGTTGAAAATTAACACATTATGTAACTCTGATACTTTTTTTTTTTTATTGATGGAGTGGCACATATAGATTCATAGTATCCTGTCATATATATATAGATAGATATAATTTATTTACTAAAGAAATCATTCAGTTATAACACACACACACACATATATATACATATTATTCAGTTTTTCAGTTGCATATATCATTTCAGCGTACATTCCTAGATATAGACTATCTTAAAATAATAAAGTACTCAATGTTAGAATGGAATAACACTATCTGTATAGGATTGTGTATGAAAAGGAAAAGAGGTGTTTATTTGCGTTTCCTACAGGGAAAATTTCAGAAGTTTATGTGTCTGTTTTAATCCCACAAGAAAGTCTGATTTTGCATTACGCGTGTAGAACGCTAATTCATTCGTTTCAAAGCAAATTTTGAGTAATTACATTACATAATTTTACATTCTATTTTGAATGTAAATTTTCAAAATTTTTGACACCTTTATTTTTTTAAATTAGTTAATAGTTGATCACACTAATGATTTATATTAAATTTTGAATTCTATATTTTTCATTAAGTGCTTATAATACGTACAAATAAAAATGTTTCAAGAGGTTTTATTTATTTATTTATTCTTAATTAACTTTAACAATGGAATGGTCTTGGGGAAGAAAGCTTGTGAAAAATGTCACTGTTGACACACTACTTAAATTTATTGACTAATCTGCATATGAAGTACAGGACGGAAAATTAGATGCTTGAATTTTTTTTTTTTTTCTTTTTAAAAATCGATAAAAATTAAATATACTCATTTTTATAGCCCGTTTGTTTAGTTCTACGAGCATAAGGACTGTGAGCCTCTCCATTATACAATCTAAGGAATACCTCTTATTTATAGTCATCCACTTCGTGTTCAACTCAACTTTCATTCATTTTGCGTTTGACCAGCTATGTCTTTGGAAAGACTGCATCTGAAGGCGCAACATTCCTTTTCAAAGCGTTGAGCCTGACCGCAAGTAACTTGCGGTCAGACTGAACTCCCTCTATGGAGGAAAGGAGAGGTCTATTAAATAGCTCATATTGTCTGTATTCCACGTCTTCCGTGAGCAGAGTTAGAATAAGAGAAGGGAATTGCCTTTTCTGGGTACTAGAATATCTTAGTACTATGCATGTATATATACTAAAATGCAAAACACACATGAAACAAATTTTTATTCTGTGGTATATCGGCAAATAATCTTTTCATGTCTAAGGACTAGTGCTCTAAGCGTTTGAGGCAATTTACATTCTGAACGTACATTACATACATGAGAAAACAATCTCTAGATAGAATCTGTAGTATAGTGAACCATAGCATTTTCACATCTAACATCTAAAAAACAAGCAATCAAAAAAAAAAAAAAAAAAAAAAGGTAAGTGCAATTGGAAGTAAATTTCAGACTACCGTCTTATATTTAATACTATAATGCTGTATAACTGTGTTTACTTTAAAAAATAATACAGAACATTCAGTAACAAAAACTCTTAATTAGTCACTAGATTGCTAGGTGGAAATTGTTAACTAAAATGAAGGTTAATAATGATGAAAAATACACTACAGATACAATTTCTGGTTAAATGCACGATGAACCCACGTATATGCATTCACTGTCTGTTCATATAGTTCGATGGTTAGAATTCTAAAATATTCAAAAGGAGCATTTCACTCGCTAGATTTTCATTGGGTTAGATGAATGTCAAAGACATTTCCAGACCGAATAAAGAACAGCTAAATTATTAACGAACAATTCTAATGTTATTTATTTCTAGCCCAAAGAGTAGTATCTGAAAATGCCATTTATGAATTTTTGTTAAGAAGAGTATCAAAATCGCTGAATTACTGAGGCAAAAGAAGAATGTATAGTACACAATTATTACTTCTTATTTAAGTTATCGGACGTTAAGACTTTGATGTTTGATTTTACAATAATTATTACACTGCAATTTAAATGAATGTTTTTCAGTTATTCATCAATTTATCTTACATAAGTGGCTCATATATTCCTAGGAATTTAGCTTCATGTTAGCAAATAAAAAATTCTGCTTATTACTTACGCTTAAGTAAAGGATTTTGCCATGTGAAACGCTTGTTTTGAAAAGAACTATATATGAAACACTTCGTATACTTGCTGATTCACACTTTTCTTCCAAATGTTTAGTGCTCATAAGTATAAACTCTAAGCCTCCATTGAGTTTTCGGCTATTTATAATAATATGCTAATATACTCTGCAGTGACAAAATTTTCCATTAATTTAGAAAATGTATGATTAAGCGTATAAACATTTGAAAAATCTTAGAATCTTTGCATAGAGTGTTTTTTTTTTTTTTTTTTTTTTGTACCCTTAAAAATAGCATACCTAGAATATGATTTTTTTTTTTTTTTTTTTATTTTCACGTTGCGAACCTTTCTTAATTGATCTCAAATAATGAAAAAGAACCGCAAAATGTTTTTTTTTTTTTTTTTTAATACTTCCTCTCCTTACAAATATTACTCTTGACCGCAAGTGCGATGCTTTAATGTCTCTTTTCTTAAGGACCCCTTCAGTTACTCTTTCGTTGACAGCATTTGTAACAATTTGTTTCTTCGAACGCATATGGAATGACCGCACGTAAGTTGACACCATTCAATCGACGACCGGAACGATCGAAACCCTGATAGCTCCCCCATCCTCCCACATGGACGCGAGGGGAGCTGGCGAAAGGGGAACAATAAGTGGGTCGTTGGGGTTGTGCCGTTCGTCACGTGACGGCTGAGACACGCGTTGACTCAACGCGCATGCGCAGAGGCTTCTGCTGACCCTATCGGAGTAGGCAGACGACGTTTTCGTTCATTCGAGGTGTGATACAAAGGTAGTGTGCGAGCAGAGAGAAGGAAAGAGAGCGGCAGCTCAAATGATGTACTTGACGTAGGTCCACTGAACCTTCGGATGTGCAGGTCAAGAGCAGGATCACGCTACCCGATGGATCCGACCCATTTCAAGGTGAGTTTTACGCTCCATGCATTCATTTAGACAGTTACGAAAGGGTTGAACAAGCTGCGGTCATTTTTTTAACAGCCGGCGAGACCAGATTGTTGACGATTTTTTTCGCTTATGGCCCGAATTAGAAAAGATCGGTCAACTCCCCGGTCATGCAATACAAGTGTGGACAAAATAAGTCTTTGTTTGGGTTCTAAAATTGTAACGGAAGAGAAAATGTTCACAAAAGCCATTCGCTGTTTTATGCCAAGCAATTGGATCTATTAATAGTCATATCTTAAAGCACCGCTTCCAACGGGCTCCTACAATGGATGAATATGTTTAAATTACGAAATAAACACTAATACATAATATTTTTGTACAGTTGCAGTTTGTTTCTAAATTCTCTGGAAAAATGAACCGTGGGGTTTATGCTTGTCAAAAATTTTTAAGTTACTCTGTTTTGACTTATGTCTAATATTTCTTCTTTCCTTCCCCCTCCTTTTTTTTTTAGTTACGTAAGTTTTTTTCAATAGTTTTTTAGATTTTATACTTTTCTTTGGAAATTTATTTAATGCTGCTAAAAACAAATGACATTGCTTACCTTTTGCTGAATTTCCTCTTTGCTACATCATAATAAGCTATGGAAATAGTCTTAGCATCCTCCTTAATTTCTTCAAAATTCCATATCTTGCGCTGCATTTGTCACTCAACTTTGCAACAGGCAAACAACGAACCTAAGAATTGGAGGTATATGTGATTTGAAATTAATGCCGTATGTTTGCTTCCGAAAAAGTTGTTAATTTGTTTTCCTTATAAAACTTAAAAACAAAAGTTTATTTGCTGAAAACTAATGTATAATACAGTCAATATGATGTTAATTAGACTTTCTTAAAATTCAAATGCATGTTGCAGATGTAAAGACAACTGTGTCGTTGTTGTTATATGTATATCCCGTTGTGATACAGCAAATAAGATAGGCGCTAAATTCTGGATTGACGTTATTCTGTCACAATGCTTAGCTGACATATTTTTCATCATTTTTATGATTTTAATTATTCTGTGGATACCTTAAATGTTCTTTTATATATTATATTGTAATTCCAGTGTTTTATTGACTTTTATTTATGTTTTGAATATTGAAAATCCAATCAATGAGTCAACATACAACTCGTTTATTGTGAAGCAACTTAAGAGGATAACGGGCTGTTATGAAATGTGGTGGCGAATAAAGTATTAATTCTTTTTGCTGGAATCTCACAAAATTCATTCATGTGAGCATCAGGTTAGCGAACTTCCTATGTGCAATATGCTACATCAGGGCGTTGGTTTTTGCTACCAATAAATCTTTTATGTAAACCTTTCACATGAAAAATTGCTTCCGACTTCTGGAGAAACAAAAAAAAAAAAAAAAAAAAATGTAGGTTTCTATTGTATTTAAAAGCTTGTGTCAGTGTTCTGCAGACTACTAGACTTAAAGCGAGTTATCGCTTTAATCTGTAACAAATACCCAAGTTTCAAGAAGGTTAAAATAACTTTTTTTATTTAATTCTTTAATGAACAGAGAAGCACTCTTTGTGCGACAGATGGACTTCCGCTTCTTGTGTGTATTTAAATTAACGTGAGATATTATTAAATACAAATGTAGGTAATGTAGCCTGCGACTACCACACAAAAAAATGACTACTTAAGGTGGCCCAAGAATAATTAGCGGCGCATGTTTTAAATATCGGCTAGTAAGATTCTAAAGCCGGACATAAACTTAGCCAGAGCTGGCGATGGTAAATAATAGCAAGACGAAGCTACCAGAAGCTCTAACTCTAAACATTCAAACATCCATCTTAAATACACGATAACTAATTTGCATTCTAGTGAGGACTACTGAAAGAAGCTATAGTAAAGGTTCAAATCATAATAACTGGTTTAGTTAGCATAAAACCTTATTTATTGATATAATCAAGCAATCAATATTGCAAAATCGTACGTTTTTACTGTACTACTCTTGCTATATTAGTTGTTTAATATACTAAGATTCGCATGAAAAATTAAAGTAAAGAAGACAGATAAATCCATTTTTATAGAAAATTTTCTTATGTTTTACATCGATTTTAGATGGACTGACTGATTATAATGAAACTAAAATACATGTATTCTTGTATTAACTAAGGTACTATTATTAACAAGACTCGAAAAATGAGAATATCCAGATGAAATGTGTTCTTTTTCATCTTCGTAGCACCGACACAGGGAAGAAAGAAATCGATTCGCACGCTTCATACGCTTGGAAGAATATCGACCATCATCTGTTAGGATACGAGAAATCGAAAAACCTTGAAATGGAATTCTGTGTAGACATCTGTGCCTTACTGATTTTAGAATTCACAATGAAGTCATATGAAATGAAAGTTAATACATATTTGTGCTGTTTCTAACGTATTTTTGATAAACCATACAGATTAATAAATATTTTTCATTGCTTACTCTTTAAAATATACATATCTCTTCTTATAATTCCTTAACGCAACTAAATATATAGTAGCTTAAGGTCACGGCCATTAGAAAATCTGAATCTGGGCAAAAATTAATAACTGCATTAAAAGCGCATTCAGTATTATCTATTAACTAATATTTGTATTATACTTCTTATAGTAAAAGCACAAAAATAAGACTGTTCAGAGGTCAGATCTTGCTTGATTCGGAAACACTAATTTTAAAATTAAAATTTAAGATGAAATAAAAAAATATTATCAAGCGAATAATTAATAGTTTATTTATCATCAAAGAAGACATGTTGCATTTATCCAAATGAAGCCGTGCTAAAGAAAAGGAAAATAATCGCCTGATAAAAAAGTAAACAATTTTTTTGCTGTGAAAGGAAAAATCATGCTGATTGTACATAAAAATTAATAATATAAAGTGAAATATTCTACATTCAAATAAAAGCAGAAGCTGCATTTTTTAAAATGATTTAACTTTTTAATTAACTAACAGAATATCTCTATAGAAAATACGATGTTCGAAAATCAGATAACTTATTTATTCTTTTTCGAGGATTTCTGTTTACATTTGCTGCATTGTTGTTTACTGGATAGAACATTTGCAGCTTTTACTTCATTTCCTGTACTTCTTTAAAAACTTTATATACTGTCTTGGTTATTACTATATTATTTTTTTAATAAATACACAAACACAAAATCATTCATATTTAAAATGTTTGTATCTTTCGGGAAATTATTGTTATTTTCGTGTTCGAAGTATTTTGTAGCACCTAAAACGAGCTTAACTAACTGATATCTAATTAGCCGTGTCACATTGCAGGTGTGTTAGCTTAGTCGCGAATGCATACGGGCAACCCCAGAGTGACTCATTAATACAAGCACGACTGACTGTTACTTCCTGTGGTTATCTCTAACAGAACTTTGCCCTTCTGAGGTTAGAATAGGCTTCTATCTGCTTAACCACTTCCATGAGCTGAAGGAGTTTAAGGGTAGTTTTTCTTTGGAAAGGGCGTAGAAGATCATTTTGTGTATCTATGAATATCTGGTTGTAATTAGGATTTTCAATGCTAATTCCTTACCCAAAAATATCGATTTCGACCAACTTCCGGTAAGATAAACCTAGCTGAATATACTTAAATATTTTTTTATTTTTTTTTTATTTTACGAAATTTGAGCAGTGGAATGCATTGAAAGTGCAAAATGTAAATGAAATCGTGTGATGAAAGTTATAAAAGTAAGACATATCGACAAAGAATACATGTTAGAAATCATTCGCCGTTGACCGGGTACATGCTTGTAAACATTCCTAGCGAATGGCCAAATCACCCATCTAGCTATCTGATTACCAAGAACGTTGCCTAGTACCCTGCGAGAAGGAGATCAAAGCATACATATACAGCAAAGCCTTATGTCGGAATCGAAGCCATACCTTTGGTTTTAAGCTGACAGTCAGCCTTCGCTAACCGCTTTACATATTAGAAAAACTGCCATGTTGAATAGTAATATTAGCGAATGGGAAGAATTTTGTGACCAATTAAATAAAATGTAACCTAGATTTAAATTATTTCTAGAGTCATACTTGATTAGAATTCTAAGAATTCCCTTTAAATTATAAATCAGAGATACGTAATTCCTACATACATTCGAAGTAGCATACCAAATAAGATGAAATTAAAATTTATATATTTCCTATGGAGCTCGTGAACGGCTATTTTTTTTTACTCCTTGTTGTCAATGCGTGCTTATGTGTTGCACCTTATTATAATGTTTGGATAAATGAATGAACTTTATAATTTATATTAACATGAATTTTATAAGATCAGCAATGAGGAAGAGGACGGGTATTAAATACGTAATTAATAAAATTTGTTTGAAATACAAAGATGTATTTTGAAAAATATTATCTTCAAAACCAAGCGACTTTCGTTCCATGTACGATATAAATTGTTTTAATACATATAGTTTCAAAGTATTGCGATAATTATAAGAAAATGTGTAAATGTGTCTAATTTTGTGGAATTAAATTATCGAATACATATAAATTAGGGATTTATTATTGCTAGCTTGTGCTTTTATATTTGAATTATGTCGTTATAAAATTAAGTTTCAAAATTGATGCATTCGTGTCAAACACTTTATTAATGATGCACGAAATATTTGCGTATAACTGAATCTTAGTTATAAAATAAGAATATATTAATTCTTCCATGATTTTTAGTCTTCAGAAATCTGAATCCTATCTCTTAATGTTCAAGCTGAAACTTATTTTTTATGTTATTAATACTGTTAGACTATAATTATATGAAAAAACTCAAGTCTGCGCTGTATTTAATAACATTAAATGTCATTAATAATTAGATAGAATGTATTTATTGCAATTTGTGAACTCGGTACTTAAATTGTGGCTTAATTTAGCCTATAAAGCACAAGTTATTTAGAATCGTTAACATTTTTTACTGCACTGCATATAAAAATTATGTATGTAAAAGCATTTGAAACCTTTATCAACATTTCAAAACTGCCGATATATTTTAATTGCCGTCTAAGATACTCGAGTTTTCCCAAAATATAGCACAGCTATTGGATATCTGAAGGGGAAACGTCGTGTTTTATGTTAAAGTTATAAATCCTTACTGTAGTATATGCATTAACTTTGAGATTAAGCACTAAACATTATTATGACAAAAATGTATTATTGTGTGTGGGTTATAATAAATGCTTATTTCATTATTTTTCCTGTGTAAAATGTAAATATTTAGAAAGAACATGGACCTGTCTTCCGGCTTAGAAAGAAAAGATGCTTTTCCAGTTACCTAACGTTTTATTAATTTTCAGCAGCACTTAGTATTTATTACCCGAGTTTGAATAACTAGGGCATGAAAGGATGATTTCATATGAAGCTAAACTATTAACAAAGTTTAGTTTTGCAACCAGGCAAAATTTTTCTTTCTTTTAATATTCAAAATATCAAATAAGTCCCTCCCGTGAAGCTTAATAGCTTCAAGTGCTTCTCAAAACCGTTTTTCCGTTAACTAATAGTATGTTGCGGTTAAAATTCTTAAACCATTTTTTTAGTCCTTTAAAAAGCTATAATTGTTTGAATTTTACAGCTTCCTACAGAGGTTTTGATCATTATACAACTCCTTTAGAAGTGCATTAAATTGATTGCTAATTAACTGCTTGAAATAGTTCGTGGATAAACAATGCTAACCTTTACTCAATGTAATTAATTAAAATTT